TACCCTTCATTTCTCCAAAGAGATGTGGTAACACTGCTTTTGAAACATGCCTGACATAGTACAGTAGGGGGAATATCAATGGGGAAATACATATGAATTAGAGTAACAATAAGCATGAGAAAAGCAGTAAGCAACATGCACACCCAGACTCTATGGCTACTAACAAGGAAGGGAGATTTCTTTGAAGTTTAACAAACTGCTATTGTCAAACTATGGAACAACTTGAACTGAAATGACCTGTACTGACCACCACTCTGTTCTTGATACATCCTTACAAAATAATAAAAATCATTCCTACAGAAGAAAAAAAGCAGTGCACAGGATTCTGTTTAGCCAGTAACAACCCAGTTGTGCCAGGGTAAATTTAGGTGGGACATCAGGAAACACTTCTTTACAGAAAGGGTTGTTAAACACTGGAATAGGCTCCCCAGGGAGGTGGTTGAGTCACCAACCCTGAATGTGTTTAAGAACTGTTTGGATGTGGTGCTCAGGGACATGATTTAGCGGAGGGTTGTTAGAGTTAGGGTAGTATGGTTAGGTCGTGGTTGGACTCTTTAAGGTCTTTTCCAATCTGAGTGGTTCTATGATTCTATAACACTCTCTCAGACTGCAAGAATTACTAAGTGGCTACTTCCCAGTTATTCTTCTCAACAAGATAAGCAGAATGTGGCTACAGTTTCCTAAATGCAGAAACAAACAGGGAATGTAAACATCCTTTCAAGACTACTGGTAATATTTCATAGGATTTGGCTTGAAAGAAAAAAAATACATGTGAAACTATGACAATAAGTTTGCTGCTCTGAAATCTATTAGTTAACAGTCCTGCACAAACAGGTGGGTTGTGTAAAATTACACTTACTCTAATATTTAGAGATTGTCCAAGAAAAGTGGTTCATATATTAAGGGATTAGAAAATCGTTCTAAGTGTACTCAGAATTTATGATCTAATTTCCAGACCAACTGGTCAGACTAGTCAATCATCTCCTATTTTCCACTATTTCAATTAAAGAAGAGGTGAAGGGAAAGGAAAAGAAAAATTGCAGGCACATATATGATGGAGATGACCTAAGTGTATTATTCAATTGCTTATGGAGGGGGAAAAGTTAATTCACTGTCAACATTCATCAGTTGAAAGATACTCAGTGCTCAGATAAGGAATGCATTCACATACAATTTTAAGCACGTGCTTAGAATTCTACATTTTAAACTAAGGAAAAATTGTAATGTGGACCTTCGTGTACCGCACACGCTGCTGCTGAGCAGAACGAGTTCACTGATTAAAAGGCTACCAAGACAGTACGACTTTTTTAAAGCTTTCTAACTACGTATCTTCTTAAAAGGAGATGCATCACACACTGAAGTTGAGTTCAACTAGTCTGCAATCAGCATTAATCTCTCTGAGTAAAGCCAGGAGTGCCAGCAGTCAGCACACAGTACTGGCCAACCTTAATGTATATAGACTCCTAAAAAGGCTGTACACAGATGTCTGACACTGAAATTACCACTCTGTAATGGTACCACAAGCTGCACTAAGAATCTGTTTTTATTGTCCAATATGGAAAAATGGACGTTTTGGTAGCAAAATATTAGCCTGGAAACCCTAGACTGCCCTAAATTTACTAATACTAAATTTGGATGAATATTGCTTCAGCTTAGATTTATTTCTACCTTTATTTTAAAGCTAACAGAACTTATTTTTTTAAGAGAAACTTCAACATTCAACTTTCATCTGCTTATACTCTACTTTCTCAACTTTCTATCTGCTTATATAACACATTTTCTGCACATAATGTAATGCTTACAAGTCAACTTTAGCTACCAATTGTAAAACATCCAAATCTGACTACACTTTACACTTATCTGGCCAGTTTTTGCACTGATATCTAGATTTAGTTCAGTAATTCATTATTTTTTTCCTTAAAATTTAGAAGTAGTCCATCTACACTTAATAATTACATTGTTTATATATACACTTCTTATTACTTTGTGATGACTGTTTTAGATGCCATAAATAGAATAAAATAAACATAAAAACATCCAAATGTTGCAATTAGGTTGTTTGTTTGTGGTTTTTTTTTTTTTGTTTTTTTTTAATGCAATTCAAAATTGATAAACAGCAGTTAAATAAGTATTTGAATTTTCACTTTAGGAAGACAATTTCAGATCTGTTTCCTTCCCCATTAAACATGACTGCAATTCAGTCTATGTGGTCTCCATAAAACAAATGTACAATCACCTAATCCATCTCAAAACAAACCCCAAATCTAAGTCTTCCAAAACTACACGTTAATACATTAATAACTAGACAAGCTTTTCATATCTGGCACATCTGAGTTATCTCACTGACATCCATTTCTCTGCACATATAGGCAAAGATTTCTGGATAGACATTGTGTGATGATACATTAATCACTTTGATAAAACATAAATCACCACTTCTATTTAATGTGTTTGCAACTATGTAGTCCACTCTTCTCTCACTTTTCTGCACATACAAAGAAAATCACGCTATAAAATGTGGTCCTGCATTCACATTTTATTCACAGTAATTACTTGAACTTTATATATTAGTACCATCTGTGCTTGCACCTACTTTCAGTCATTCATGTTAGAATTAAATGGAGTCACAAAATAACAAGGAAAAATCTCAGGACTTAACACAAATTTACTTTGTAACATAGTTTTTTTTTTTTTTTTTTTAATGTACTGTGTGTTATATATACCTAGCTCCAAACTTATTTTTTATGTCATTGTTCACAGTAGCCATACTGTTCAGACTATAAACATTGAAAAATAATAGATTCATGGCATGATTACCATCACTATGGTGAAATTATTCATAATTACATCATTTCCTCTAGCCACTGTTAAAATGCAGGTTGTATATTGCAATGATAGAAGCTTACTGTTAGGAAAGCACAATTTAAATTGAATTATTTAAAAAAACTTAGTGCCTTTTTCTCAAGGGCTCTTGGGGAGGGAGGCAGAAGGCAGCAGAATGAGGGCTGCTCCAAAAGTAATGCCTCCTATTTTATTTTGTTGGCCCACAACATCAGAGGTGGATGTTGGTAGATGGCAGGAGAGGTTGAAACTTCCTACCAATATTCCATTCCATGTTGTTGCCATGTGACAGAATGATGTCTGACATGGAAGTGTGTATGAAGCAAAAACGTGTCACTGAATTCTTCCAAGCAGAAAAAATGGCACTCATTGATGCTTATTGAGCATTTATGGAGACCAGACAGTGGATGTGAGCTCAGTGAAATGCTGAGAGGGTGGTGCATTTCAGCAGCAGCGGCAGTGATATGCAAGACAAGCCACATTCCCAATGGCCATGCACAGCTGTTACATCACTAAATGAAGAGTATCTTGATCAGCTCATCAACATGAATAAAGTGGATTCTGACCAGGGAACTCTCTAAGGAACTGAATATTGGCTTCAGCGCATTGAAAGCAATGGTAGCAATATTGGAATATCACAAAATTTGTGCAAGGTGGATCCCATAAGTGTTCACATGGGAACAGAAAGAACACTATATGCAAACTTGTCAGGACCTATTGAACCAATATGAGGCTGAAGGTGACAATTTCCTGGACCACATTATTACCAGTGAGGGGACATGGTGTCACCACTGTAAGCCAGAGCCAAAACAGCTCCATGGAGTGAGGAGATGTGAATTCCCAATGTAGTAAAAGTTGATGACACAGCCCTCAGCAAGTAAAGTGATGTGGATTGTCTTCTGGAAGAGGAAAGGAGTGGAAGCTTGAACTTCCACAGTCAGACCAATTAAGACGACAACCTTTCTCTTGCAATACAATAACAGCACACCTTATTCCAGTGTGAAGACTGTGGAGCACATTGCTCATCTTGGTTGAACTGTCCTACCACACCTATTGTACAGTCCAGATTTGGCATCTTCTGACTTCCATCTGCCAATGAATGACGGACAGCATGAGCAACATTTTCCTAGCAATGACTCTGTCATTGCCACTGTGAAATAGTGGGTGCAGATTTGTTCGAGAGCAGCATGCAGGCTCTTGTTCATTGTTGGCAAAAATGCACAGCTAACAGTGTAGACTATGTTGAAAAATAGTGTTTTGTAGCTGAGAATTTGCTCTATCAAACAGTGTTTTTGTGCGCTTCATTTTGTTATATTTTCCATGGAGGCATTACTTTTTGAGCATCCTATGTATAATATGTTTTTTATACACTATCATTGATTACTCCTCAAATACAGTGAACAAGCTATAGTATCATTTTTCTTCTGGTATTCCCTGCAAGTGCTTTTCAAGTTCACTATTAATGTTAGTGCTTATGAGAACAACAGATGGATAACACTGTTTGCAGCCAGGGAGGGATATTATTTAAAAACTTCACCACACAGCTTTGCCAAAAAACCTTAGCAGGGTTTTGAAACAGCCCTGCTGCTCCTTATGGAGCACTGTCCCAGACTAGGAGTCAGCTTAGTGAAACATAACACTGACTTGACTGAGTTACCATCTCCTCGCACTCAAGACTGTTTCTTTTTTAATAATTTCTCTGCATTTTCATTCCCAAATTTGATTTTATATTATTCTCTACCTGTTTTTCCAGCCTAATCATTCTCTATTTTTGGCTTGTATTAACAACGTGTTGCCATTGTACAAGCACATAAAATTAACCACTTGCATCATGGAACTGAGTTAACAGAAGTTAAACCAAAATAAGCTGTAGAAAAAAAATGTAGTTCATAAGCATACTGAATAAAGTCATACACCATTTACACAGATGTCTATCAGTCATCACCAAATCTGAACATCAGACTTTTGGAGTAACCATGTTCACTGACTAAAACTATAAAAAATGACTTCAGAGCCAAATCAGATTTTATAGTCTTTTCCATGAGACTGATTTGAAATCAGAACCTTGGATGTTCTGTAAATTGCTCATGTGAACGAGCCTTGAGTTGCTTTAATCAGCGACACAAATAAGTGCTATGTTGACAAAGTCAAGAACTCACCATTTGTCCATCTTTCCCAGGAACACCAGGCACTCCAACAGAACCCTGGTGGGAAAGAGACACCAGCGTTTAGCAAATTAAACAGGTTGAAAACTTTCACCTTTTAATACGGTACCTAAAAAAGATGGTGAATGCCAGCATATTCTAAGTGCAATAAATTTTTCAAAAACTAATTTAATTATTAGTTTAAAATTAGCTAACTATTCAAGTTGAGCTCTCTTTACAAGTGACTGTTTACATTAATCATAAATGTTTGTGTTGTACATTCTTATGCTCTTACAATGTACGTTTTAGTGACTGTCCCATTGTATAGCCTCTTTCAGAAAGGAGTCTCAAATTGGTGGTAACTTTGTTGTGAGTGCTTCACAAAATATGTAAGGATTAAAATGCAATTCCATTTAATGCTCTGGATAAATTCTGAGTTTGTTTTGACACAGTCTAACAATAGCGCCTGAACAAAATCATTAACGCTTCAAATGCTTTCAAGCATCTGAAATGGAGGGATGTTCCAAGACCAATAACTGGCAGGGTCAATCTTAAAGCTTTTAAGGGATAATATGCAATAGTTCAGCCTGACAGTGCAAATTACCAACATCGTTTTAAACTGCTTCAGTATTACTGCAATCAGAATTTAAAAAAACAACGAAACACAGACCAAAAACAAGGAGTAGACAAAGGAGCAGCAACTCATAATGTAAGAGAAGTCTCTTTACAAACTCTCACACTACTTTTGTATGATGGACAATTTTGTTTGAAGAATCTTGTCTGACTGTTGCTGCAGACGTCCAGTGAAAATCTCAGGCACAAGGAAAGGAGCTCACACAACACCATCCTCTTTTTCTGTAACAGCGGTGTTGCACAGCAAGGAATCTGATAGTGTATTTTTATTTTCCATTAATAAATGTCTGAACAGGTTACAGAAGCGTGATAGCTATTTGAAAGGCTGGTAACATAAAAGATTGGCCAGGAGACTAGGAAGGGCAGAGGCTGTATCAATGGTGAGATGCGTAGTTGCTCAGCGCCTGTGAAAAAAATGAGTATCCTTTGAAGCCCATTGGGCCCTGAGGCCCAAGAATCAGTGCACAGCATTTTTCCCTCTGTTTACATTGGCTGGGGGCTTCACTAGAAGCAGTTTAGTCAAAGGACACTTACACCCAAAGGAAATGCAGCCAAAATGGATGCATGTTTACCAATTAATAGAATTGAGGAAATAATAGATGGAATAATCCTGTGAAACAAAAAAAAAAAAAAAAAAAAAGGAAAAAAACAGCTTATGAGTGCTTCAAAAAATATTCAACACTTTGAGTGCCCAGCAGGCTCAAGCTCACAGCAGAGCTCTAAGCCAGTAATAAATAATACACTGACATCTCAGCCTGTGACCATTACCCTGAATGCTTTCTCCCTATTCCCAAAGCTTTCACTTTGGCATTCCGGTGCCCCTATTTGCTGAATGCATGGTCACGAATGCCTGCCACTGCAAAAGCCTAATGCAAATTCTAGTGAACGTTTTCGCATTTTTTGTCTAATTCTTCCAGAAACTTGTAAGAAAAGGCTCAGGAGGGCATTATGACATCCGTCTGAATAAACTACCCTTCTTGTAACAGTTAATTTTCCCAGGGACAGTCCCATACAGCTGCTGACTTTTCTTATGAAACATGAGATATCAGAAAGTTTAAATAAAATTGATTCTACCATACCCTTAACCAATAAATGTTTATCATATATTGAAAAGCTCACCAGAACATGAGGTTTTTTTTCTGTTTTTTTTTTTTTTTTTGATGTTGTACATATAAAGTATCCCACTCTGCTATTTCCTGGAGAGTAATGTCAACTTCAGAATCAGATGAGCTTTACAATGTCACATTCTTGCATTGCTAAACATGAAGGGTAGCCTTCATCCATCAGCTTGTAAGCCGTACAGCTCACAGCTGGCAAAATCCCATGGATTTACATGCTCGGGGATTACATTTTTACATATCAGCAGGCTATTGTTTTTTCAAGAAGTTCAATTTTAACAGATGCAAACCTTCACTTTAAATAATATTTCAAAAGAAGAAGAGGTGACAGCTTTGCCACATACATTGATACTTATTTCTTTCCCTTCTTTTTTCTTTATACAAATTAAGCCTGCTCTAATTAGATATCTCCCATAACACTTCTTATCTTTTGAAATCAGTCTCAAAATGACCTGCCTTGGTGGTGTGTGGGTGAGATGCTGGAATGGTGCCATTTACTAGCTGCTATTGCTGATATAACTAGGACTGTTTTAACGGTGCAGTTCCATAAATCCAAAGCTCACTCCATCAGACTGAGGCAGTCAGCTTTAATGAGTGCAAATAATGCTGAAAGCATTCATAGGAAGTCAGCTCTCCGGTTACCAAAGGAACAGGAAGACAACAGCAGACCACCTGAATATAGCCAACCAAGAACCATTTATCAGCAACACCTATATCCTTTGTTTCTGTTGGTCAATTTTTTAGTCATATGGCATTGATCTACTTGAGAAAGGACATGCATTCAATCAGAAATTCTCTCTCTCCATCTTTCACAATGTTTCACCTTTGGTTTCATAGCTGTGCCAGTACATGAATAAGAAAATTATAGCAACCTTTTTACCTGAAAGTTAAGCAGACAGATTAAAAACATTCTGCCCTTCATTGCTTGAACTTCCTATGATGGGGAAAATGAGAAATCTTATGTCTAACATTATACGACTGCATTTTGCAAAAACAAAATACAGCATCTAAATTAACAGATTCAAGGTGGTGTGCAGTAGCTAATTCCATTCACCTTTTCTACTTACAGTTTGGAACCAGGAGCTATAATGTTATTGTTGTTTATACTATACCTTTTGTCCTGGAGGCCCTTGAGGTCCCTGCAAAGAGAAAGAAAACGTAATTACTCTAGCTAATTTAAAACTGAATATCTAATTAAAGCTGTCCCATTGTGTAAGTGTTCAGATACTGGACTGAAATCAGTAGAAATTTTCTGCACCAACAAAAAGTAAAACATTCTACAGAAAATACGCAATGGATCTTTTCGCTTTTGGAACAGATTTAACTTCTAAGTAGAAGATTCAAACTTCCCCCTTCCTTACATTTTCTCTTCCATCCCATCTATTTCTTCAAATACTAACAAATCTGTCAGCATTAAAAAGACTGTAGTTTTTCTTCTTCTTATCTAACAATCAGTTGCGGTTCACAATAATTCCTCTGCTCGGCAGTATCTTTTCTGCAAAAACTTGGCTTATGCCACTAAGTTTTTACTCTGTTTTTAGAGAAAGAAGCATTAGCCTCTCCATACTTTCTAGATCATTAAAGGTATTGAAATTTATTACTACGGTTTAACCAACATGTGATCTGTGCCAACAGCCACAAGTTAAAAAAAAAAAATTCAGAAATTTTTAAGAATGTTCTTGGGAAGTAAAGAAGAACCATTTTAACCTTATCATCTGAGAATGCAGGAATACCTAAATCCAGGAAAGGTTAACTGCTTAATGTCTTACAAGAGTGAGTCCCCTTGATATTAGTTGGACCCATTTCTCACCTGGCATCTCTGAAGCACCCAGTTCATTTGCGGCCAAAGCAAAAAGAGGAGGCACCAGGGAAACAGAGCAGCCAAGCATGTATTTGACATCATGTCAGTCTGTTTTCATTAAAGTCAGACCGCATTCAGTATGGTCATCTACTCTTTTCCACACGTTCCTACAGGATGCACTTGTGCAATTTGTGGGTGCTGATGCAAACTCAAGAGAGATTAATTCTGACTGTGTCAAGTTGAAAAACAGAAAGCCAGAATGGGAGAATTCAACTTGTTCTGATGTTTGAAAAGAGAAGAAGAACTGATGTCAGAACAGGAATTATTCAGGATTTTATCTTGAACAATAGGATTGCTGCTTCAAAATGGCCAATTTTGTAGTTAAGATAGTGTGAATATAGGTTAAATCTTCCTTTTTGGTAGATGCAGGTTGTGTTGAAATGTTGCTCTGATGCAACATTAAACTGGTAACACAGAAAAGCTCCACTGCTTGTAACTCCTGGTACTGGATCCACTGAAACGAATGAAAGTCTTGCAGTTTTAAACATGCATTTGCATGTATAGACTGGGAATCAAAACTTACAAAAGCACAAATCAGTGCTGCTCCTTGAAACTTTTGCCCGATTTTCTTAGAAAAACAAGGGTCTTGCAAGCATCTCTCTTACTCAAAGGGACAGATTTTACAAATAGAAAACCATCTGCAAGATACAGAGTGACAGATTATCTTTCTTTTCTTTAAAAGGATGTGAAAATAATCAAGCACTCAAATCTGATGATAATTGGAGCAGTGAATAGACTGATCACCTTCTTTTTCTGACTGGAGAAAAATCCCACCAGCCCACTGCATTTCAGTAAACTGCTATTTAAATCTCTTTTTTTCAGTATGTGCCTGAATTCTAACTTTAAGATCTACCCGAGGATGAGGGCACCTGTAATAGTGAATATAGCAAATGAACAGCCTATTACCTGAGCACTGCTTGTAAGCAGTCTCCCAGAAGGGGAAGAAGAAAAATAAATGAAAAAAAATCAATAGGATGTTGCTAGGTGAGAGTGGCCTACTGGGGAAGGAACCGAACCGTGAATATAACATATTCCACTTAAACAGAATTTTTCCCTTTCTTCTAGAAAATGAAGAAAGTTTCTTCCAGCGCCTCACAGCATGGCAAGTGATGAGCCAGGAATCTTCTCCTTTGCGAAGAAAAATACAGGTTTGGCTAACATCTAAAGAACTCCAAGAAATTCATGTTCAGACTAAAGTTTTCCTCTATCACCGTTACCAAAATAAGCTCCAAATATCCAGGCCCTGGGAATCATTTATCTTTTGACTTTTATTAAACAGTTGTACTATGTTAGCTTCCATCAGTAAGCCAGAACAACTGAAGACTACTTCATATTTCATATATGTTTCTTTTATGGGCATGGAATAAATGCTGACTCTTCTGTAGTTTCTAACTACATAAGAAGCTAAACAAAATTTTCTGGACAAATTCAGCTAAACCAAAATACCATTTGGAAGCCTTCATAACAAAGCTACTATCTGAAGGTAAAATTGCCACTCAGTTATTAGGAATATCCCCCAAAGTAAATTGTGAAATGTGTTGCTCTTCTGAGTACTTCTGTGCCTAGAGTCTGCAGCTGTCAACTTGTGGGATGGATTTGACTCAAGATATTGCAGATGTCTCCAGAAAAATCTTTCCCTAGAATTTTCCCTTTGCTGCTGCTACCATTCCAGTTCCTCCAGAGGACTTACTGAATAAGAAAGTACTGTTATAGAAGAAAAATCTTGCCTTCACTGCACTTATAGAATGGATGATTCGGAGAAGAGCATTAGGCACTAATCATCAGTTATTTTAAACAATGAGTAGTTTTCCATTTCTGGTACTTAAACTTTACTCAGACTGGAAGTTACTCTCATGTCTCATGGCCTCTGAGCTATTACACCACTTGATGACCAGTACAGTCCTCAACAATACAGCTACCTTCAGCAAGCTAATTGCAATTAAAAGCTTAAAATGACACATTTTACAATTTACACACAAGAGTTTTTGTTCTGTAAGTAATCAGAATGTAAAATAATTATATCAGAATTGATAACTGCTAGAGAATCCAAGTAGAAAATGGGAAATGCAATATGATCATGTGTTTTTTTTTCCTTAGCATTCAACTGATCTGAGGAGAGCACTATGTACATGAAAAATCGCGTCATTGATTTGTTTGAAGTGACTAATTAGAATCTTTGAAAATCAACCTTTTTTCATACATTCACTGAGAAACTTTGGTTGAGCTGGCTGTAAATTTTGATCACGAGAGTTGCCCAGAACAGGAAAATAACTAAAAATAATAAAAGCCATTTTAAATCTCTATTATTTCAGATATCCTGAACACTTATTAGAACCATTTTCTACCTGGTGTAACTGAGTAAACGACCCAGATATGACAAGCGATGGTATGCATCTGAAGTAGATTCTCATCAAGTTAATTCCTCAATTGGAGGGTAGAAAAAGAAATTGCATTGCTCCCAAGAAATTCAATAACTATTCTTATGTCTCTGGGGATGGAGCATTGTCTGATATGTACTTAAGTACTTGGAAAAATTGGGCATCCAAGGATAAAAAAAGTTCTTAAGCGTTCTATGAAACTAAGGGATTTTCACTATGAATGCCATTCTTCAGCCACTATTCTCTGAAATCAAGGGATCTACAGAGCTTCTTTCATATCAAATATTAGCGTTACAGAAATGATCAAATGAAGTTACAGCTGGATACATTCAGGTGCCTTCACTAACAACTACTTGAAATTAAAAAGAAAAAAAAAAAGAAAAAACAACTGAAAAAGTAGACACTAATGTAAAAAGCAAATTCACCAAGTCCAGAATTCTTTCTAGACATCCGTTTATATGTTACAGTTATGTTCTCCTTTTAAAGTTACTTTGCTGCTTGTGCTTTAGCAAACTGCAAAATAAGAAATAATTCTGCCCTGCAAGTGTTAAAACTGTGGTTCAAAGACACCGTAATTCAGGGTGTGATACCTCACAAACAGCCTCCCCAGGTGTTTTAATTTTCAACTTCAAGCAGCTCAGTTGTTAAACATTTGAGGAAATGTATGAAATAGAAAGTTTGGAGCATTTTCCATTTGCAGGTCTGTGGTAGATATAATGATTTGTTCTGTGAGGTGTTAGATGTCAAGGATGGCAAGCATGAACACCAGATGAAAATGCCTAACAAAAATATAATGAGAAAATGAAAGTTTTGGTATACTGAAAAAATTATAAACCAAAATACATCACAATAGTGCAATACATTCATCTTGAAACTCTTATTCCAAAGCTTGGTAAAAAAAAAACCAAACCCTTTTAGTGTCTTTTTTTTTTTTTTTTTTTTTTAAAGCTTTCATACTGCCTTTCTAAAGTAAAAACTCCTTGTAATAGAAGGCCTTTAGAAGATCTGTAGCTACATTTTTATGGGATAAAGGAACTACCAAAACTATACCAGAATGCATATTTCCTATTTGGTACTATAGGAATCATGAAACACTTCCTTATTTCTATCAAGCTGTGGACAAACAATTTAGGAAGGGAACTTCCTAACAATGTACACGTAGAGGAAAACTACAGGTTTCGTACACAGTATTCATCCACCTTTCTGAGGAGCCTCCGTATTGCCCCTTGACCCTATTTGCTGTGTGGAATGGGTATATAATGTAATTCTGAAAATGTGTTCTCCCATGGTTGAGGAATGTTTCATAAAGACTGTGATGGCCGGAGCCCTAGTATCCAAGTATATAATGCTTTAGCATTGATGAATTGCCTAAACTTAAAAAAAGACTGGCTAAGAAAACAGATCAAGTATAATGGAAATTCATATAAATTCTCACTAAGCAGTGGTCCCATATGCTACCTTAATTAAGTGCGGCAAAAGCTATTAATTAGTGTTCAGGCAGAGATCCTCGTCGTCACCTTCTTAGTCACTGACATCCCAGACAACCATCACTGAAGTACAGAGATGATAAAATCCTAAAGACAGTTTTTCCTAAGACTAGCTCTCATAACTTAAGGCCAATGAATCTGTATTGGGGAAAAAAATAAGTACGTGCCGCAGGAGGTGCAGGCAGAGATTCTCAATTTCAGCTGCTAGTTTTTGGTACACTTTCATAGCTAAACAGCTTGAGAACCACACTTTAAAATTTGCTGTGAACATGCCACCAGAATGAAATAAACAAGGCTGCTGCAGAACTCTGGCCACGGAAAACAAATTCACAATTAGTAATTTCCCAGAGGAACTGTGAAGATTCACACCAGCTGAGGATCTGTCCTTGGTTGTTGGCCTGAGAGTCTGAACTCAAGCCAGCAGCACTTTCCAGCCAGTTCTGGCTGATCCCCACCCCCCTTTTTTCTTTTTTTTAAACCTCAGATGAAAAATGCATATTAACTCATTTTAAAGATGTGGGGTTTTATAGATTTAACTGCAAAGTTATGCTCTTCCACCGACTTTCAAGTATATGACAATATCCTTTGGAAGAAAGTTCTCCTTATACTGAATAGCTAGTAAGACCACTAAATCTTTTTTTTTTTTTCCTTGAACAGATGCCCAGCAAGACTGCAAAAGCACAAGGCTGCTAGTCTGGAAAACAATACATCTTAAGTAGAGGGATTTCGCATTTGAGTTAATCATTAAAGGATAGATTTCTTTTGCAAAGAGACATCTTTACCTGAATTCTTTGCTTGTTCTAGACATTCTGTTCATGCAAAACATCTGTAAAATTACTTATGTATCTTTAAAGCCAGTTTCTGGAGAAAAAAATGTATGTATTTTATTCAGAGACAAAAAGCAGTTGATTTGTACACTGGACACAATTCAATTGACTAATTTTCCAAGGAGCTGAAATAATAGCAAATTTTGATCCTCCAAAATTCTATGACTGTACACTGGTTTAGAATAGTTCTAAATTGAAAGCACCAAGAACGTTTTGAAAACAAAAACAAAAAGCAACATCAAAAACTTAGCACATGGAAATTAGAAATAAAAATACCTATGCACACCTTCTGTCCTATTGCAATTTGTGAATCTGAAAACACTTTTCTATCAGTGTCAGCATTTGAGGTTTCCTGTCACTGACTACACTTATAATAAAATCATCAGCACTCTGAAACCAGAAATTCTAGCTTCTACCTACAGAAGAATCACAAATACTTTTATGATCCAGTCTGAAAATAACAAGATAAAGAAAAAAAGCCTCACACGGCACCAGGAAGACATGGCAAATGGCATGGGAAGGGAAATATGTTATAGGAGGCAAGGCACAACTTTACCAAAGAGGATGAAAAGCTAAGGAAACTCTACCAGTCTTCCCTCTGGATAGAAGACTTTTTCTAGATCCATGTAACATTTCAAAACTTCAAACCCTTAGCACCACACCTCACTGCTTCGCCTTCATCTGACTCCAATCTGTATAGAGGAGCAATACCTTCTACTCTAGCAGAAAGTAGACCCAAAGGGCTTTTAGTGTCCCAGAAACTAGGAAAAAAAATGTAACTAACTAGGCACTCTTACGCTCTTTTCTAACATTAAAGATATATACACTCAATACTTCTTAAAACTAATTTTGCTCCCTATTCAGCCCTAAAGGAAAACACATTCTTCCTATAAAAACAAAGTGACAGAAGACCTTACAAACAGCAAGACCCCACATCTCAACCGTGAGAACAATAGAACTGGACGCTATCAACATGGAAATATTTTCAGCATGGGAATAAGACACTTACATAAGCAACAATGGGTTTTCCCAACCCTCTTCTCCTATCACCCTGAAGTAAGCCACTTAGTGACTGTGCAGAAATGCTAAGTCACAGCCTGAACCAGTGATTGAGCACCTGGTGGGAAGGCAGGGCCAACCCAGGAAAGCTCAGGTGTATACAATGTACCTGAGTGACCAGAAAGGGTGAGGCCAGGATCCACCCCTTCCCAGACCTCATTTAAGGGATGGCAGTGGAGGTGAGGGTATCTGGAGATCCCTTTGTACCTGAAGCCTTCTGAAAGTAGGCAGCTGCTTTTCTTTATTTCTGTGCCCATAGCTGTTGCATTTAAGCAGATCTTCACGTACTGCAGCCTAGGACTTTGCTGCTCTGCTGTCACTGCTGTGCTTTCCATTGTGTTACACCCACTTAATTTCTGAAGTAGAGAAAAAGAAAAGCCATTCTGTCTCTTCAGAGCAAATTACACAAATTGCCTTGGCTCTAAAGATGAGTTCTCTTATGCCAAAGCTGAACTCAAACAAGAGAACTCATTGTCATTTTCTCTGTCTGATCCAAGCAAACCTCCCCTGCCTAAGACGGGAAAAAAGTCCTGAATTGTTACTACTGTTCTCTCTCACACATCTAAAACATGATTATTATTACTTTTTTTCTTTATTGACACAGAACTTCAATAAAATTTGAGGAGAATATGGCAGCAGAGTCTTGGTGCAAATTGTTGTGCCTTTGCTAGTGCTCCTGATTTCCTATTTGACTGAGCAGTAAGAACATGGATGTTCCTAGAACTCTAAATGCATTAAAATGATTTTAACTTTTTGAGAATCAAGTCACATGTTGCTTGAGTAGGTCATAAGCTAGTCAAGAAGTGTAATAGGTTTGTGTTACATTCTGAGACACAAGCTGGAAAACATGCTGCTATCTCATTATCTACCATCTTTCACTCTTCAAGGGTCTTATTCCATTCCTTGTAAAAAGAGAAGACAGAAAGCTAAGTAATTTCAAGCTGTGTCATTGTTGGTTCCAAGGTTAAAACTGAATTTACCAGCTCCAGTAACATTCTCTGCATTCACCTAGAAATACTAAGCGATGTTACTGAACGCGAGCATAAATCACTTTTGACAGAGAAAAGCTTCTATCCCACTGTTATAATCTAGAGGTCAGGCCTGCAGTTCTTTGCTTGAATAGTACCAATGCTATTTAAAGCTGCTGAGACAGTGATCCTTTAGAATACAAATAGCCTTCAGTTTCCACCAATCTCAAAAAGTACACTGGAAATTTAGGGTTTGTTTCAGGGCCACTGGTGCTGGTCCTTGCCTGTATCTTGCCTCTGTCCAGAAGAACAACAAGAGTGCACGCTCCAGTACTTGGCTTCTTACTGGAAAAGCTCTTGGACACGTGGAAAAGTTAGAAACTTCAGTAATCTCCAAAAGGTGGATTTTGGGGAGATTAGAATTTGTAGTACTTTATGGAACCCATCTACCTACCAGATCCTTCTTCACACACAGAAAAAATGGAATTTAACTTGGACTTCAATTACAGTGTGAAACAAAGACTACTCTTTACATAAGAGTTCCTGCAGAATTAATGTAGAAGTTCACAGTTCACAGCTGAGATTTCTGCTGTAATTTTATTTGAAAAGATGGATGGATAACACAGAAAAAGAATTGCAGGTAGGTTTGTGTTCTCCAAGAAAACAATACCTGTTTTTCTTTGGCATCACAATTCTACAGCATAATTGTTTGGAAATCAGCCACTTCTGCAGTAGTGCCTCAAATTTCAACACTGAAGTAAAGAGATATTCATGCAGAAACGTATGATGGAAGATATGAAAGGAAACCAGACAGAATCTGTATGGATAGCTTCAGCTCTTTCCACAAGGAAGACAGCCTGGAAATCTGTACTGGCGCAATGTGTATGTCAAAGTAACCAAGAAAAATGGAAATAAAATGTCTCTCTGATAACCTGAACTTTTCTTGATCTACATATAGCTTAACGTTAAAGCCATCATGTTGGCTTTTAGACCAGGCATTTGGAGCTGGAAACTTATGCAGCCTGTTTTTTTTTTTTTCTCTAGCTTACAGTTGCTGATATAAAAACACCTTTTTTCTCTATTTAAACACATATGCACTTAGAAAAATAAAGAGTCCTGTAGCAGGTCTTTTTTTCCTATGTGCAGATGACTAGAGCAGTGGGAATCTTCTGAATACTGCAATAGCCTCTTTTGCTTTAAAGAGCCTTGGGGATTCTGTGACCCTGATGATCTGGTCTTGAACAGAAGTAAGACACTGCTGCAGAATCTGAGTAAGTGTGGTCCAGAGGGCAAATAGGAGATTACAATCAAAATAAGCAAACCAAAAAAGAAAATGCCCTTCCCTGCTATTATACATATTATTAACAATAAGTCCTCATAAACCAAAAAGGATGGAACAACAGGGAACACAAATGTGCTAAACACTAGGCAGTACCTTTGGGGGATGCGATTTTAGTTCTGTTAAATATTTATCTTGAAAAGAGAAGCTACAAAAAAATTAGTTTCCTGATCAAAGGAAATGCTTCAGAATTTCAATCTTTTCTTTCTCTTCTGAAAAACTCTAGATTTTGTTAATCCAAAATATTCTGCAAATTGTCAAGGTAAATATCATCACATCTGTTTAAAACTTTATAAATTCAAATAGGTAGTAATCATATCCACACTGATTGCTGAGCATATAATCTTCCTCTTCAGAAGCATTCAGAAATCAAAAGCATATGCCAAGGGCTACAATTATGTCACTTCTTATAAAAAAAAAAAATAAGATTGACCACGAGCATTTAGGCAAATCTTAAGGGAAAAAATGTTTCACAGTTTGGGAACATGTGACAAGCAGAAACCCCTGCATTATCCTGTGTCTGAAGCTGATTTACAGCCAGTGGAGCTTCAATTTGCTTCCAAATGAAAAGGGCTAATTAGTTTCTGATGCAACAGAAAACATGTACTCCCATATCTGAGTATTTGTAAAAAGTGCATTCATTTGGCTTCTATATTCTCCCACACATGATGAAAAGAAAACCCTCAGGAGATAATATTCTGAGAGTTTCTGTATGCTTTGAAGCATCTTCGCTGTTCTGTCAGGCAAAGGGCCAGAACAATTGCTGAGATTTTGGCCTTTTAAACAAGTAGATGACTGCTGCACTGCTCCACAGTCTCCATGTGGAAACAGCTCAACTTCAGAAGTGGCATTAAGATGGGGCCATGAGTCAGGCATACCTGATATGGCAATTTTTCCTTGCTGTGCCCTCTATACTTCTGCAACCCAAAAGGAAGAACTGCCCTTATGTAATAGGCAACTGTATATTTTTAAAAAAATCTATTTTTTTTCTTGCATTTTCTTTGCAAAAGAGACTTCAAATACTCAGTGACAAAGGAGGGCTGGGAAATACGATTATCAGGCTTTCCGGAATTCCACAATTTAAGAAGCATGTTTAAGTCTGTTAAAGTTTCTTAGCAAACTGGAAGAATACTTACTGCCAACCCTTGTTCACCTGGCTTTCCTGGCTCACCCTAAAAAACAAAAAACAAAATATGAATAATTTGAATAGCATGTCTTGAATTCAATTCCTTGCTTAATAACCACCTCTTAAAAAATTCCATTATTTAACAGGTATGGCAGCTGACCACACATTAAATACACGTGCACACTTTTATATGTATATTTGCTTTTTAAAGTAATAGATCAAATCACAGACATTAAGAGGCAAGGTACTACTTCACAATCTTTTAATGATGTAGTTCTTCAAGCAAAAGTTAAACCCTGGTGTGCTGACTCTCAGCCCCTTGGTTCCAATCATAACATTCCACTTCAGCCAGTGGTGCTAAAGAACACAGATAAAGGTTTTTTCACATATGTGCTGAATCACTGTTTACATATTCCAGAATTAGTGTTCTGTGTCATCACCTCAGTCAGCAGGCATAACGCACTAATTATCATACTGCATATACCCATGAACAGTGACATTTTGAAGCTATGCAATAATTGTTCATCTGTTAAATATTTGGATTGGTTTTCAAAATAGTATCCCTTCATTTTCCCAATTAATTCTCTTTGTGGGCACATGTCTACATGAAGTGAGGAGCTATCTTCACTTTCTTCTTCTTAAAAGAATGCATTCAACTGTCATTTGAGACAGTAAAATGGATGTCATACCACACGGGCTATCCATGTGGTGTTGGATCAGCACAGCTGCAGGATCATCTTTATCAGATTACCTTATAAAAGAAAACCTGTCAAGAACCGATGGGAACTGTTCTGATGCTACTGTTCTTGGCAATTCAACAGATTCTGAACTGCTTCTCTAGGTAAATGTGCTTTCAGACACACAAATCTGCATCTGCAAACGTACCAAAAAAACCAGGGAAAGACACAGGCACAGCTTTCAGACAGCAAATTATTCAAGCTTGTTGAACTTCTCAGCTTTCTTTGTAGCCTTGCTTATTTTTGTATACAACAATCTCACAGCATCACATAAGCATCAAGATATGCCTATAAACGTTGGGAAGCATTATCTTTATGCTGAAATAATTTCAAAATCGTGTAACATTGTCTATTGTTTTATTACCAGCAAAAAGAAACCAAAACATCCCTGTTTTTTCCCTTGTGCATCTTTTTTGAGAATCTAAACTTTCAAAGTGCTGGTATTTGTGTGGCAGGAAAGCGATGACAGGGGAAGCATATAATGTAGGCATTTTGCTCTTTTGAAAGACAAGTGTGTACAGGATCCAAGAGGTTCTTCTACTGACACCTAAATAAAGGCTTAGCAGAAAGCTGCAAAATCCTTTCTCATGCCCTTGATCTTCCTTGGTTCCTGTTAGACCTTCCAATAGGCCTAGCAGCATTTTCCTCACATTTCTTCAGCTCTAAAGACTTTCTGTCCCACAAACAAACACTTCCTCATCTCTGAAAACTTTAAGCGTCTGGAGCAGGATGCATGCTCCTGGCATGTGAGGTAAAGATAGCACAGATGGAGATCTGTGGGCACAGATGGAGATGTTAACACACAGACTGTTCCTCAAAACTGCTACACAAGAGGAACAGAAGTAATGATGGTTGCTGGAGATTCTCACCTGGGCCCTGTTATCTTGAGTGAGTTTCACAGGATGCACAGCAAGTGTATGGGGCGTGGACGAAGGAAGCAGCCAAAACATTTTCTTGCAGTTCTGGTGATTATAAGTACCTTGCTTAAAAGGAAATGAAAGCTTGCTTAAGGAAATGACTGCCTTACAGTGGAGGCTAGCCATAGTAAGGACTTTCAGTTGTAATGCTGCAGTGTTCCTATTTGTAATGCAGTATAACTATTATTTAGTTGTTTCTCTTTTCCACACAAGCCTTTTAAAGATACAAAGCTGGGACAAGTTTTCCTCTTGATGCAGGACACTGAGAAAGAGCAGGATGATAACAATAGTCAGCAATCTGGTTTGATTTTATCTGATTCTGAAGCTGTACCACAAATTGATTCTCCACAATGCTATGGGGCTTAAGATAACCACAGCTAAACAAAAAGAAACAAAAAACAAACCTATAAAAAGAAACTCTCTCTCGCCATCTAAAGTCAAAAATCACTACAGAACTATTATAAAATGGAATGACCTAATTGCATAAAATGCATTACTTCTGTCATGAGAAACACTATTGTTCCCTTTGCTAAGCAGCAAAAAAACCCAAGCAATCCACAGTCAGACTGTGACCAGCAACACTGGCTGATTCTTCTAGCCTCTTGCATGTGAATTATAAAAATGGTTGCAAAACCATTAAAGCTCTTGCAGTTAGAAATTGGTTGTGGTTTCAGTCTCACCCTCTCTATATGAAACCAGAAGCAACTCCGAACAGAGTCAAATTTACCACATTAGAAGACTAACAAGAAATGAGTAGATGGCCAAAGTAAAGCATAAAGTGAAAGCAATAGATTTTCAATGTCACTTCACAACCTTGTGCTAGAAATTATCAGTCCAATGTTGGATAACATCAGGCCTCAATTAGAGTCATAGAATCATTAAGTTTGGAAAAGATCACCAAGATCACCTCATCTAACTGAACTGTTGACCTACCACCAATTAACCCATGGCCCTCAGTGCTACATCTCCATGTTTCATGAACTTCTCCAGGGATCGTTATCATGCTACACTCTTAATACAGCTAATGTATAGTCAATACAATTTCAAATATGGCAAGAACAGGAGCTCAGGTATTTTCTTTCTTGATTTTGCAGTGAAATGTTATGCCTTTCTGTCCTGGCCTACATAATGAGCTATGCTTTCTCTCTGACAAAGCTGTTTCTTTTTCCAGAGATGTCTTCACCTTGCTAGTTCCTTATGCATCCTCTCACCTGTGATCTTTATTTGTGACAGGTGTGGGGATGTGTTTACCAGATCTGTGCATTTGACATTTCAGTTGTCAAGTGTACTGCCTGTGATTCAGCTTTCACACTGACACTGCAGTGGGATTCATGATGAACAGAGAGATACTTTTTTCAAAAAGAAAAACATTTTAAAAAGGAGTATTAGAGGTCACAAACCATAGAGTCAAAAATATACTCATATTCTGGAAAAAAAAAAAAAACAAAAACCAAATACCTGCATTTGCGCATCTTTTTATGAAGTGTTTAATCTCACATTACAAAATGCCAAAGGCTGTGGGGGTCTGATCCTGCATCTAAAACATTAAGCAATGTTCTGTATTCTGCTTATAGATCTAATGAAATACAGGGGATGAGCAGAAGAAAATTGTACTGTTAGTGTTGTGTAGAAATGGCAGGATCTCACTCCAAAATTTATCATACTTTGGGCAGCATTTAGCAGTTTATTATTTTGATTTCATAATTTGATGCTAAATCATTAGAAAGTGAGAAGTCAAGCTAGCCTATGCAATGATATCTTACATTCAGCTTTAGCTTGAAGTCTGAGTGGGAACATTTGCTACTTATAGAGGGGGCAGACCCTTTTTGTACACTTATTAAAACATCAGTGAACAACTCAGAAACCTTAGAATGTGTGGGAAAAATTGCCAGGGGTGAGAGGCAAGAAACCTAGGTGTTACTCTTGGCTCCGCTATGAACTTGCTGTGTGTGGCAGAGTGCACTGTGAAATTTGTCTGTGGTTCAGCTTCCACGTGTCTTATTTGCCTATCTTTCCTCACAAACCACCTTTGGCTGTTACATACTTGACAAAAATTTGGTCACCAACACACTAACTCACCGGAATGCCAGGCATCCCTCGAGGACCATCTTTGCCAGTATCTCCTGGGGGACCTCTGGGTCCTGGTGGCCCTGGAGGTCCAGGGGGTCCGGCTTGTCCTTGGTCCCCCTAGCGCAACAAAGAAATAATCATCAGAAGTTTGCTTTAGAGGCATCAACCACACAAAATACCATTTTTCAGAAAGAACACAAGTTTAAAGAAGCTGCTGCGTCTTTGCTCCTTACTGCCAAAGACTGCACTTTGCCTTGAAGACCCACAGGTTGTACCTGTACAGTGCAATCAGCCACAGAGCAGCAAAAGGCTGAAATTGTAAATGGCTTGTACTACCACAAGACACGAACTAGAATTTGGGGTAGCTTTGCAATATTTGACTCATGCAGTTTTCCAGAGAGAGTAATCGTTTTCAATAAGCAGCTCTTCATTTCCTGATTGGTATAATCATGACAAAGCAGAAGATTAAAAAAAACTCGTGTGCCAGAACTAGACAGTTTGCCTGGCAACAGTCCAAGCCCACCAATGTTACGTGGACAGACTTCAAACATGAGCATGAAGAGTAACTGCTTTTCCACAAAGTCGTAAGAATTTTTCATCTGTTTTGGTGAGCTCTTTCAGAGTGATAATTAGCTAAATCCCTTAATGATTTAGACTTACTAATTTGTAAAAGACAATTTCCAAGGAAGTTGCCAAAACATACAGCCTTCGAAAAATCACCAGAAATGGTGTTCAACTTATTTGATTTCCAGTATAGCACTGCAAACCACTAAAAATGCTAACTGCATCTTAAACGTGGAGCATTTAGCACAGCCACCCATAGTATTTACGCGTTAATTTCATTAACAATTGCTTAATTATAGAACTTTCAAATAAGCAACTTGCTATAAGAAGGCTTCCGACAAACAGGTACAGCAGAGAGTAAACTGAATGTAAAGAAGAACCAGATTCCAGTGAGATGAAGCACTACCTTAATGAGGCGGCGTTTAATGAGCTGCTGATCAGCAGAGAGAAACCCATGATTGATTTTAGGAAACACCATCTGATCAGGCAGGTGAGGTCAAAGGTTGAAGATCAGAGATGAGAGAATTGAAGAATAGACATCAGAAGGCCCGAGAAAGAAATAAAGATATATTCATTAGATTTGTAATAGCTAAAGTTATATGAACTGGAGCTTCTGCCAGAGAGAAACTGTGCTGTTAGCGCTTTCTGAACTCATCATATACAGCGAGTTAATTGTCTAAGTCCTTTCTCCCCAGATTTCACAGGAGAATTCTTCATTTTATTTTTTTTCCATTATCTAGGCTCTGAAAAAATTCAGTATTTTTGCATTCTGTTCTCTCAGCAAAGTTTCTAGACACAAAGCACCAGTTCAACTTTCAGTCAGATTTTCTAACCAGCATATTGTGCCATGAACAATGGTGTTATTTTAATAAGGATTGGAGTTCCAGCTTGACCAGATTGCTCAATTCTTCCTGCTTGATTTGCAAATGCATTTTGAAAAATTGGTACATACAGATTAAACTTCAGATATCTAACACATATAACTGTTTCTTGATTCAACCAGTACAGAGTTCACTGACATTTTCAATGCTCCTGTATGCCACAGGGAAGCAGAACTACAGAAATTCTCATCTGAAAAATGAGATACTGACCAAGAAGAGCACACGGAACACGGGTGCTGCCGGGGGTAGCGCTGTATGCAGTTATGGATTTGATCCCACGCTTTGCATCAGAAATGCATACACCGATACAAAGGCAAAGAGAGTTGACTGAAGTCCACCATAAGGATTCATGGCTACCTTGTAGTAAAAGTAATTTTTTTCATGTGCACTTTTATGCTGATACAGAGAGACCTGACTGAACAGGTACATGTCAACCACAAACCTTGACGGTGAGGATCTGATTACTGTGCAGAGCAGCGACTGTGGGGAAGCCTGGCAGACCCTAGGGACACAGCATAACATGGAACCAAAACAACACAACACAAACATCACAGAGACAATTTACTGACAGACAGACAGAACAAACACTATCTTTAGTATACCCCACATCGCCTACTGACAGGAAACAGCCTCTCTGTCATATGGGAAACAGAATTAAGTTTGCATTATAGGTGTGTAGGTTGTTACTTCACGACAACAACATAAACAGATTTTTAGAAGGAGCAGTTGCACAGAGGTGACTCCTTAAAATGACAATAAATTATTAGGATTGTTTGACAGCCAGCTGACTGCACTGTTTATCCATTAAAACGTGCTACAGCCCTTCAAGATAGCTCTGCAGAAAGCTTTAATTCTGGGCTGCTGCAGAACTTGACAGCGGCGACAGAAAATTTTGAGGCACTTTGTGTAACTACCATCCTGCTCCTCACATTCTGTTTTACATACGACATTCAGCACATAAACTGATCATACATACACAATTATAAACACTGGACAACAATCTACTGGTAGATTTGGGGGAATCCACAATGGCCAAGGTCAACATTTTCAACATAAACATAATGGCATTTTCATAACCAGGGTAAAATTCGCCCATTGAGTGCTGTATGCTGCATGTGGTCTCTCATATCCTACTCTACCCACGTGTGCAGAACTTGATACAAAAAAGGAAGATGTGGTAATTAGAGCCTGCTGTGAGAGCTTTGCTCTCACTTCAGCACTCTTGTTGTGCTGCCTTCTGGGGCACAAATTACTCTTCCTCATTAAGCTGAAACCTTGTAGTGTTAAGTAGGATCGCCCTAAAGAAAGAAATCCCTAAGTCCTCTAGATTCAGCACCCTATCTGAAGCAGAGGTCCTCAAGGGTTTGTTCACGGAGAGCCAGGAAACAGCTAAGACATCAGACTGAGGCATACAGGTAAATGCCTAAGATCCCTATGTGCGTGGACACAAGTGTCACTTCCATGGCAAAGCCCTGCTGCGAGGCCTCAGCGTAGCTGGCTGCAGAGTTGCACCTACAAAAGGGAAAGATGCACATAGCTCTGGCTGCCAGACAAGGTGGATTTCATAAGTCTCTGCGTCAAGGTTCTGATGGGGCAATCCCTGTGGCCATGGGGCAGCATGCTTTGCAGTCCAGCCAGCCTCGTGGAAAGCACCAAGAGGCAACAGTGGCCTGACAGCTACAACCATCTTTCATTATTACAAGTAATTGTTCTGTGCATCTCCACCTGCAATCGTATCAGAGATGTTTTAGATCACAAAGACCACACTGGTCTTCCTCCCCAGCTCCCCTAAGAAGGCAGAATTAGATTCTGATTCATACAACATGATCTTTGCAACTTTATTCTTGATACACGCTGGTGAAACAAGAGGAAACTGAGACTCTGCAAGTGGATCCCATCAAGTCAGAGGCAGTTTTACCAGCTTTCCCACTTTGTTCTGATGAACCTGGCTGTGGCTAACTGCATTGCTTGATGACCTGAGATCTCCTCTTTAGAAACAAATAAAAAGAAAACAAAGCCAAAAAAGGCTAAACCACCATACATTTAAAGAAGCTCATTCCTGAGACATTGCTCAGGCTGAAATGATACACCATTTAGAAAACAGATGTATCAAATTTGCATTTATCTTGTTATGGAATATAAGTTAAAGAAGTTATTAAATGGTACTGTGCCAGAATCTTTACATCTGTGACTCATTAGCCCTGCTGTGCACATGGTTCATTCCTCTTCAAGCTAAAGCTACAATACCCATGTAATAGAAATGGGTACAAACAAGAAACCTACAGAAGATCTAAAATCATAGCAGAAAGCAATAAATTTTAGGTGTTTTTTTTTTTTTTTTAATTATAAAAGGGATAGCCAGAAAATCTTTTAAGCACCTCATTTTTACTCATTATTGCATAATAGTTTTTATAGTTAACTGTAATGTGGCATATTTAGAATTGACTTTTTTTTTTTTAAGGGTGGAAACTCAAAACTTATATTAGGTTTGATTCATTTCATGACAATACAAAAAAAAAAAAAAACCTGAGAATTAATTCAGGAGATTCTCTGCAAATGTTGTATTGCTTTTTTGCTTTTTTTTTTTTAAATAAATGGAAAAGTTTTGAAAATTTTGCGTAGCTCCACAAACAAACATTTATGTGGAGCACTTCACAGTCTATTTTCACTGCCTCCCAACACCACAGAGACAAATTCAAGAGTATACCAGTACTGTAGGTTTGTCAACACAAACAAACTATGAGAAAGAGAAACCATCTCCTTCAGCAACAATGTCTTCCAGCATTTTCCAAAGTTGAACAAAAACTTCTTTCCATTACCCAAAACTGATCATATCAGAGCTAATGGCCAGAAAAATGCAATGTCAGCTTGGACCTAGATCATCTTCCTATATGTAACAATAATTTCTGGAGAGGTCAGAAATAGAAGAATACTGAAAAGAAAATTATGAGTACATGGTTTATGCATGCGTGAGAGGTTTTAGAAGGCATTGCATCTTCTGGCATCCATGAAAGCTTATGTTGGCAAACAATAAGCTTCAAAAAAGGCATAAAATGATCTACCCTTTCTACAAAATGAGTTCTCTTCCTTTCCTGTCACTCTGCTATAAATACCCCCTCAAATATCCCCTAGATATATTTTACTTTCTTTTTTTTCTATCTAAAGTTGTTCTCAATAACAAATTCTGTGCTATTCAGTTTTCTCTTTATTTGGTTTGATTCTTGAACTGCGAATATGAACAGTTCTTGTTCTACACCCTGGGAGGCCCTGACAGAGCACAAAAGACTACAACGATCAGCACAGACCACTGGACCACTAAATTCTGCTGACAGCAGCTCAAGCTCACTCTGAAACACTAACTGGTAACAATTTCTACATTAACACATTTGTTGCATGTCCTGCAGTTTTTGCTCAAATGCCAAGCAAAACATGATGCTTGGCAGAAACTAACAGGCCCATGACCATATAATGCCATGCACTGCTTGCCCACCTGAAAATGCAGATAAAGATGATTCATTCCCTGAAAACACTGAAAAATGACAGACCCTTACATGATTGCCTGACTTTCTACTTTGATGAAATAATTCTCCTGTAACCATCCATCACAACCACTCCCACTGAGTCCTAGATTTTTCACAGTATGTTCAACTTTTGTGTTGGCCTACAACAAGGTCTATAAGGTTGTCACAGTCCTACTGTGTGGCAGATATAAGAGCAAACATCATCTTAATGGTTTTACACTAACACTGTGTACACTCCCATTTTGAATTTTGCATTTGCTCAGCACAGTAAATGTCACAGTCCTCCTTAGGATTTTTCTTCTGACCTGCCAATAAACCCAAGCTGCACAAGCTTACATGTTCCTGTGAAGACATGGTAAATGAGACAGGAATTACCACCTGCTGTTCACTTGCACTTCCTAAGGTTACAGCCAGCTGCTGCTATTTCACATCAAATCACACAGGCTCCAGGCCAGAGTGGTCTTGACACCCTTTATGGCTGCTTTCCCTCCTCCCCAACACCACCTCCAGTTCTAATTAATCCCTCAGACTGAGTGGCAGTCCTGCAGCTAATTATTTTACCTGCCCTGGGGAACACAGAGTTTGGTATCACCCTGTACAGTGCCATGGACTCTCAGCAGGAGCTCTTTTATATAATCCCTTTTATCATAACCGCTGCTTTCTCCATCAGCAGCTCTGCTAAGTAAAACAGTGCACAAGACAAGGATCCAGGATTTTTTTTTTTACTAAGGTAATAATTCAGCAAGGAGTTATAATCTGAATACATAATGTAATGATTCAGTCCTTGTATTAAAATAATAAAAGATAAAAGAGTAATGTCCTGCAAACTAGCACAAGCTCTGATTAAAACAGATCATTGTAAAAGAATTGTTATTTTCTATAATGACCTCTATATTTTCACAGTGAACTCTGCCTGACTCCATGCTCAGAAAGGACAAAACTGGGTAAAGCTAGCACTTGACTATTTTAGTTCTATTATTAGATGAATTTTCAGTGAGATAAACATCTTCTCCACGCAACTCAGGAGTTCTGATGACCATAATCATCAAAAAATATCCTTCTTGAAGCCATGCATACTCTTACTGAAGTTGGTGGTAAGCATCCAGTAAGATCCAATATAGACTCTTTTTTTTTTTTTCCAAAACCATGTTGGTCCTCACAGTAAAAATCTTCAGTTCAGGCTTATCATGTTTCTCTTCAAATTTCATACTCACTGTAGTTATAAAAAGCAGGTGAGTGGTTCAAATCACTTCTATGATATTTGTTAGGCCTGGGGGAAGCATTTTTCAAGAGCTGACTTTGATCAAACTGCTCTAACTCAAGTGTTCAGTACTGTAATACTTTTGCGGGACAGCTGTCATTCTAGATGAAATGCCTACATAATGTTTTCTCAGTCACGGGACCGAGCTTGAGAAAGAGGAACAGGATGTACAGAGACTTCCTTCCTCACCATTCCTCTGGCATTACTAAAAAGGAACAAGATGCAAACTGATGAGTGGTGAGTAAAGACATGCACTGCCTAGCTCTTAAGATGGAAATGACAACATCCTTGTCTTGGGAGCAGGTATGTGACACTCTCTCTAATGTCACAGCTGTTCTGCATTCCCCAGCAGTACCTCATGAGCCAAACATCAAAGGCATAGCTTGGCCCTGGAGAGTCATCCACTGCCAAAAGAATGCTCCTGAGAACTCTGAGCTGGGGCTCATCTCAAGTCTTGAGTGTTCCAGTGCTTCAGATCAAGTGAGCAGCCAGTGCAATCTGAGTTCCTTCCAAACCTCACTCCTATTTGATTCCCTGCTTTCACATTAATGGAAAACAGTGGAGTCAGAATAGCCTAAAAATGGTCAATTTGTACAGATAACTAGTCCCAGAAATTGACTACATAAACACCCCTTTTGATTTTTTACAGATAAGGTAATAAAGTCTCAGAAGTAACTACTTAGAGGCAAGCTGGCATTAAACTAGATATTGAGAAGTTTT